TTAGTTTTTTATTTGTAATAAACCCCCAAAACAATATATTTACCTTGATTTAGCATTCTCTAAACATCTCAGTAAGCATTCTTCTTAATAGGCTGATTTATTTATATTTTAAATAATTAAAAAACCTATGTGACACTCTGTAACCCAAAGTGACATCATCACTTGACCCCTCTCCTCTCCCATCTCAACACTAGAAGATCACCTGGAAGACACAGACTTTGAACTGGAGAGATTGGTCCCAGGCTGGGAAGGGAATCCAGCTGGTGTGCTGAACTGTGAGCTGCCTGTAACCTCTATTAGGATGATTCAAATCTTGCTTAGTCTCTACAATTTAGACTCAGAATTTATTTTTGTTTCTTATGTAACCAACTTTATCTCTCTATCTGCTTATAATCACTTAAAATCTATCTTTCTGTAGTTAATTAATCTGTTTTTATATGTTACCTAAAACAGGGTGGTTTTGGTTGAAGTGCTTGGGGAATCTCAGCTCAGATTACAAAGGCTGATATGTCCACTTTCCTTTCACAAAGTGGCAAACTAATTAATGAGCTTGCACTGTCCATGGGAGTCTTGAGCAATGTAAGATGGTATATTTCTGGGCTGCAAGGCTGGTGGCTGGGGTGATTGGCTGGTGCCTCTCTCTGTGTGATTCATGAGTGGCTCAGGGAGTATTCATGCAATATAGCTGGGTGTGAGGCCCCACATGCTGATGGCTGAGTGCAGGAGTGCAGGGCTGGCTCTAGTGTTTTTGCCGCCCCAAGCAGGAAAAAAAATAAAAAAGCCGCGATCGCAAGCGGCAGCAGCTCTACCGCCGCTTCATTCTACGGCAGCAGGTCCTTCGCTCCGAGAGGGAGTGATGGCCCCGCCACCGAATTGCCGCCGAACGGCCGAAGGTGCTGCCCCCCTCTTCATTGGCCGCCTCAGGCACCTGCTTGCTACGCTGGTGCCTGGAGCCGGCCCTGGCTGAGTGATCATAATGTCTGGAAAGGTTTTGCTGCTTGTCACTGGCATAGCGTTGTGTGCGACAGCCCAGGCTGGAAAGTTAAGGGAGCACAGCAGTCCCACAGTTCCAAGTTGTACCCTGGGGATCCCGTCACAATCTATCCAAGATGCCCTAACACATAATTAATTACAATGAAATAGCAGCAGCATTAAACTAATCATTTTAGCAGGAACCCAGCCAGCCAGACACCTACAGAAATTCCTCATCCCTTCATCATTATAGGAAGCATACCTCTGCCGGTTATATCCTGCCTAAACTGAAGGCTATTAATTCTGTTCTGAACATGTTACATTGCACATATTATTTGTGGGTTGGCAGATGGAAAAATATATAAACAAAAATGGAACTCTGTATGATTTTTGCTGACCTGGTAAAGGCCAGTAACAGAATCAACCATAAATGTGGTTCACATGATCTAGGAAAAAGGGTGGCATAAATAAAAAGAACAAATCTTCCATCAATCTGTTAATGAAAAAAAGGACAGATGCATGGGAGTTATGCCTGGGTAAGCAGTACAGGATTAGACCCCAAGTATTGCCAATATCAATGAATATACACTAAAAGTAAAACATTCAGGTGGCTCATAGCCTACACCAACTTTACTGCCTTTTGCACTCATTGTTAATCTTAAATGGAGCAGTAACAGTATGAGTTTAACGCTAACATGGTGAAATAGGTAATTGTTGCAGATTAAAATGCCATGTGAAATTAAAGTGCCATCAAGATGCTTTCTAGTTGCTTGGCATGTGTCCCATATAAGAAGGGCTGTATTTCTTTGATTACTAAATGTAACCATTTACCACAGACTAAATAAAAAACCCCACAAAAAGACAATAGCATTAACCTGTGTGAGTAATAGTATCTTTAATTGCTATTCCCTGCTGGAACTGGCACGTGAAACCTAGAAACATGATTACTTGTTCAAGTAAGATTTATATTTCTTTTACTTTTTTCCTCATTTAATTGTACTTTATTTTTAGCTATCAAAATTATTTTTAATTTTGCTGCATCTTAAAACTATCAGCCTTGTCATTTAAAGTAATGACTTTTCTTTATATAAAATAATTTGTTGACAACAGCTGTTATTGGTGCTTCAACCCACATCAGTTAAGTATTGTTGGAATACAAACGGTTCTATTCTCAAATAGTTTACATGGTGTGTGAGAGTGATTTTCATATAAACTAAAAGAAAAATTGATGGAATGTATCTTTTTCATTAAACTTACACAAAGGGCAGCAACATTTCTAGATGTTTCCATTTGAGGCCCCATCCTGCAATGGGATTCATATGGGCAGACTCCTGCACTTGAGTGGCGCCTCCACCCATACAGTTCCACTTTAGGACTGACTTCTTCACAATCACTTTTTTGCCTACCACAGGAATCCTTAATTTAAAGCACAATGGATGAAGCAGTTATGACTTGTAATACTGTAATTTACATTTCAATAAATTAGAGTGGAATTTTACACACTAACTGGCTTTTCTCTAATCAGTGCATGTTGTGCCTAATTCTGCATCCTTAAGCACCCATCTGAAGTCAATAGGTGTTTCAAGTACATAAGAAATGTAGGATCAAACGTCAGTAATTTGTGTAACAAAATTAAGTTTCCCCCACAAATACTCCAGTTCTCAAATAATAACAGAAGCTATAATGAGGTTTCCGGACTACATTTTCATTTTCTTTACCTCAGTGTATTTCAGCACATTTACTTGTATACTGTGATGTATTATCACATAATTGAAACTAAACTACAATTGCCAAAATAATTAAATGCAAAATAATAACAGTAACAATAATAAGTTAATGTACAAATGTTGTTTATATTTAATCAAATACAAGTAAGGACATTCAAAATTATGTTTCTCACATGCACTGGAGCTCCTCCTTGCAAATATTTAGTATTTTGTAATATTAGTTTGTACATGATGCTAACTATATGCCTTATCTGTGCATTATGGGCGAGTTATGGGGTACTGAAGGAGGCCAGGAATCATAACTTTGAATTTCCTGACTTTGTGTTTGCAAAATCTCAAGGATAAGATTGTATTAACATTGTTTTTTGCCTTTGATTTACTTTAAAGAAAAGCAAAGAGGTTGGTGTATAATTTGGGCTGTATGATTGCACAGTCAAATAAATACACATATGAATCCACTTTTGTATGCTGTTTTACCAACTATGTACTGTGCCCTGAACAAACGTGTAATTTGAAATCAGGGTTGCTGGGGGCTAAATTTATTAAGATTGGCAAAAGCTCTCACATTCTAAATGAGGACAAAGTACATAGTGAGTTTAAAATTTTGGGATGACCAAATATAATAAATAAATAAATACATTTTAAAAATCCTCTCTGGAATAGCAGTTCAGAAATATTTTAATTAAAGAAAAACACTAGGGGATTATGTTCAAATATGTCAAAAAGGGCCAAAGAGGATTATATCAAATGTCCCTCCAAATTTTCATTTGGTAATAAAGACAAACAGGAGAAATTTCTGTTCAAAGGGGAAATTTTGGAGAAAGTCATGTGTGCCTGAAAACAAGGGTTTAAAATGACAGTGTTACCATGGCAATAACCAGAACACTTTTAGAGATATGCTATTATTTTAGGTTAAATTCTCCTGCTTGCATAGCTGCCAAATTGATTCAAATTTATTTCCCCCCTTTCCTGACCGAAGTTGGAAAAAAATTAAGATTTTTGTTTTTTTGCTACAAATAACCAAATCACCCATAAATGATAGATCTAAACTATTGTAAAAAACAAACTTTCCATACAATTTTACCAAAAGGTACTGCTCCCCTAGTTTGTTCTCCTTTCCTACTATCTGGTATTCTTAAGCAATATTTGTTCTTTCTTCTTCAGTGTCCAGGTTTTCACTCAACTTCATTTTTCATCCCTTTTATGTTTCTCTCAAACCTATTTTTCTTCCTGATATTTGTTTTCTCTTCTGATATTGGTCTTTCTCCTCACTTTCCCCCCTTTCTTTCTTTTCTCAGTCTAGGCAATCTCTTCCACAACGGACCCCCTTCTCAAGTTCCATTTCTACCTCCCTTTTACTCTCCTCCACCTGCCCTCCTTAGACTGTCTCCTCTCTCCAGTTTTCTTCCCTGTCTGTGACTGCCCTTTTTGGTCCCCTCCAATTCTCCCTTCTCCTTGGCCTTCAGAATGGGGGCAAAGTGTAGGCCTGGTTCCCCTTCAGTTGTAAGCACTGAGCGTTTTGAGAGTGAGATGGTGGCATCTGTAGATGTTGCCCTCCATATGCGGGTGGGTTGGCTGGCTTGTGGTTAGGGTTGCCAACTCTGACTGAAGCTATTCTGGGAGATCTCTCCCCCCCACCAACATGTTGTAATGTCATTTTTGTAAAATATCCTATTAAAATCTCCTGGATTGTTTTCAATGGTCACCGGGAGATCAATGCCAATTCCGGGAGACTCCAGGCCAATCCTGGAGGGTTGGCAACCCTAGGGCACTTCCCATGGGTCCAAGGTGCTTCCCCATGGGGCATGCATGGGTGGGGTCTAGCATTTCTAAAAACAGTGGATTGCCAATGCTGTAATGAGTCTGGAGGGTTCAGACCCCTCAAGGGTGTGTGAGATGGGGGGGAGGGGGTAGCACTTCTGCCAGGCCTGCCACAAACCACTCCCATTGTTTGGAGGGAGGAGAATCCCCCCCTTTGGAGGAGGATCATTTTCAGTCAGTGAGTGGGGAGGAAGGAGGGAGTGGAGGGTTTTGCTGAGTGTGGTTCTGTGAGGGATACAGGGAAGTTCCCCTCAGAGTTCCCCACAGCCTGATGCAGCAGCAGCCCCTGCTCCCCCACAGGAGGCTGGAGGGAGAGGCGCGCGGGAGGAACCCGCCTGCTCCGCTCAGGCGCACGCTGCGCTCTGGTGGGTAGGAGGGCGCGTGCAGAGCCGGTCCCTGCTCAGTGCGCCGGCTGCCGGGGCGGGCGATTGGCGTCCCGTGCCCGGCTCTCGTGCTGTTAGCAGGGGCCGCACGCCAGCCCAGTAGCCGACGGCGCAGGTTCAGCCCACACACAAGTTGGGACTCTCCGACGGCCGCAGGAAAAAGCCCAGGACACGGTAGGGGAGGGAGGCACAGAGCCAGGGCAGCGTCAGTGCTTCAAGTGCGTGTCTGCGTGTTTATGTGGATGCGCGCCGTGTGTCTAGGTGCAAATGCATGTGTGTCTTCATGTCCGGGCGTGTATTGGGTTTCTGCATGGCTGGGTAGGCGTGTCTGCCTCCGTGTGCGGTGTGTATGTATGTAGCGTGGTGTGAGCCGAGCGTGCATCAGTGTGGATTGTGCGTTCATATGTGTCTGTGGATATGTGGTGTGAACGCGTGTGGCGTGTGTGTCTGTGTGGTCCTGTACAAATATGTGCGTTTATTTTAAAAATTAGTAACTTTATGAAAAATAGCTGTAATATCTTGTGTTTAAATTATGTATCTAACTAAACGTTGTTAAAAATATTTCTATTGGGTCGCTCTACCTGCAAACTAACCCAGGCTTAATGTTATCAGAGAACGAACTGTGTTCTGATAATTTCTGAGCAAAAGAGAAATTAAACTATACCTGCACGAAATTAAAAAAAAATTAAACACATTTTATCTGTATCTTTTCCAAACATATAAGACAAAAGATAAAAAATATCTAAATAATGCAGCCGTAACTTGAATTCTTGGATGAGAAATACATGCAAAGTATTCTTCCTATTATTATAATAATTTGGATGTTCACAGATCATTTTCAGATACATCTTTCTTTCTATACCAATTGAGATTTTTTTTTTATCCTCCTGCCTTTTTTGTTTAGTTTTTTTGTGTGGCTACCATCCTGCCAAAAAATTGTTTACCAAGCCTGCAACTGAGACAGTTGTGTTTATTCTAGGAGTTTACACAGATCTCTGCTATCCTTACACTACTGTTGAGGGGAGATGGGACAATCAGCCAGCTGAATAGTTTAGTCGTAAGCATAGAGACCTTTGGATGTGAGGGTGCTGTGAATACAGACTCCAGCTGTGCTGTACAATTAGTCTTTATGACAGAGAATACACTCTGACCGCTCTTTGTAGCGGGAGTAGCAGTATTGGTGAGAAGAATCCACAGTGTTTTTTCAGGTTCCCATATAACAGTGTTAAAAGAATGAGAATGCTTTTATCTTCTTGATGGCTGCTTTCCTCTCGCTAATCCTGGCTTGATCTCTGTAGGTGCCTTATCATGAAGGTGACACCCACTAGGAGGAATAGGGACAGAATTCCCCACAAGTACTGACACTACTAATCACTTGATTATTGGCATATGTAGGGTCAGTAGTGCCATAAGTGATACCAAGTCTATTTTTCTCCTCCGGGGCAATATCTCTAGTCTTAAATAACCCCTATGCCCAGTACTACTAAGGTCTGTATATTCACTGCAGTCATATTAGCTGCCAAAACTGAAAGCAAATATGACTGCTGCTTTCAAAGTATATGTGATACTTTAGGGAGACTCTACCAGCACTTCATTATTTTAGTTTAACCAAAATCTAGGAGCAACATTGTGTATTCTAAAACACAGCCCCACTAGTGTGCCTTACTTGTGACCTGAAGGGAATAACTCTAGAAATGAGAGTGTAGTTCAGTTTCCATGTCCAGTTAAATGCTGGTGTCTCAGCTGAAACTGTCAACAAGGGCCAGAATTTGGGCTCAATCCTGCAAAAGAAACTCCTTCCTGAAAAAGTCTATAAGACTCCTAAGCAGATAAATTAAAAGGACACTGAAACTAAATGCGTAGGGTTAATAGGAAGAAAAGCCAATAGCAATGAGCTATTCCAAGGATACTTACAAAAAAGGGGGAAAAAGGGTGGGGAAAAAAGTTTGAAAGAAATATTGTTAAAAATACTGGCTCTGTTATCCGAATTAAAAGGATACAATAATGTTTTAAGACAGCAAAGGGAAGAGGGTTTTAAAAAAATCCATATTTGAGGGCCTGACCTTGAGTTCAGTGACTGTTTTGTCTGAGTAATGAGGGCATCATTGGACACTGAAAGGGAGAGTAAAGAACTAAAATAAAGGAAAGATTTTTTAAAGAATTTGATTGGTCTTCTTAAAAGATTATTGTTGTCAGGGGTGATAAATCCAACATGTAACCACTCCTAAAACCTCAAGAATTCACTTTATATGCCCTTTTATTGTTGTTTTTAACAATGAAAGCAGGTGCTGATGGCCAGTTGCTGTGATACATGGTAGAGAGACAGCAAAGAGAAGAGAGGTAATATTTGGGGCCCAGGGAGTTTACACATTCAATTCCTTCAATCATGGGAAACCCTAACATGACAAGAACTGTGCACTGCCATTTGGTTCTGAGAGTTGGCATCCCTGTGTAAGTATAACCCGCTTTGCTGCCCTGGAAGTCCTGAGAGAGAGGCAGGAACTATCTTAGCTTCTTGGTGCAGTCTGATATTAGTCCAGCATTTTTCTGGCTGAGCAGAATTAGTCAGGACCATCACTGGATCCTGTCAGCCTATTCTCCCATTGAGTAAGACAAGACTCCTTCCCCTTCCTCCCTCATCACTTCGACTAGGGAGAAAAGAAGTGGCTTCTGAGGTTGAAGCGGTTTCTCCTGCTCAGTGCAGAGCATACTGTTGCTGGACCATTATTTTACAATTTTCTTCCATTTTTATTATGAACTGAGAGAGAACTCAGTTATATTTTTACATGTTTGCAAACATTCTTGGGAACAAACGGGGACATTTTCCACAAGCAGATCAAAAGGTAATTGGGTTTTTTGAGTGGTCTTCAGTCAAAACTCACCTATCTTTGTTTTCTGATATATTTCCTGTGCACCTTATCTTTTGAACCTTTAGATAGCTTAACTGAACTGAGTAGTGTTAAATGCAAAACCTGCGCCCCTGACAGCTTTATTTTTAATTTGTTCATATCAGGATAGCTGTAATCTCCCTGAAATAAACTCACACTTTCATTACAGAAATGTTGCACTCAAATTATTTTAAAATAAAACTGAGATGATCAGGAACCTCTTTTGATGCTGGTGCTATTCCTGTCTGTTATGAGATTGTGCAGAACTAACCCTCCTTATCCTTGAGATGGCTAATGGGAAAAATAAATCTATACTGAGGAATGTTTCTAAATCCTGTACTTTGTCACTTCCTTATTGCTTTTGAATGTCTCAGTACCTGTCTCACTTATGCCTTCAGAGTCAGGGATAGCAGAATCAGTGGAAGATATGTGTGGATCCTTAGGACTAACGTATAACTTAGGATGTGTGCTACTAATACTGAACTCACAAAGAACCATCTAAGCACATTTGAGAGTAGAATTTGGCTTTACATCACGTGAAGACTGACAGCTTATGTTTTATACACTTCTTCATGGATAAACTGAGTGCTAAAGTTACCGACAAAGGGATCCCTTGTCTTGTAATCTTAGTGTCATCTAACTCTACAATGAAATCAGTGACATTTTTGCCCTCCATATGTTGAGAGGAGTACATGGAGAAGACACCTAAGTGGCAAGAGAACATGTGATGTGCTGGGAACTGGCAGGGCTGGATTAACTCTCCTGTGGGCATGGGGCTATTAGATTTTGTGGGGCCCCTGTATACAAGTCTTTTTCCTGGGAGGGAGTTTGGTGCAGGAGGGGGCTGAGGCAGGGGATTGGGATGCAGGAGGGAGTGCGGGGTCTGGGAGAGAGTTTGGTGTAGGAGTGGGCTGGGGCAGGGCATTGGGGTGCAGGAGGGGGATTTTGATCTGGGGCAGGGGATTGGGATACATGCAGGATGTCTCTGCATGCCCCTGGGGGGAGGGGAACAGCATGTCTCTGTGTGCTGCTTGCGCCCGCTAATGCCGCCCCTGCAGCTGTGGGGACGGTGCTGGGGGCGGGGACAGCGCGCGGAGCTGCCTCTCCACCGCCAGGGACCGCAGAGATGTGCCAGCAGCCAGTCACTTCCGGGAGCAGTGCGGGGCCAGGCCAGGCAGCTTGAGCTCCCCGGAGATCGCTGCCTGTGATTTATTTTTGCAGGGTCCTCCTGGGCTGCAGCCCCAAAAGCCCCTGCCTTAATCCGTCCCTGGGAACTGGCTGTATTTTTAAAGATTGTGTCAATGTATTGAGTGACTGACAGCTTGAGAATTGGAATGGAATGTGTGCGTGCTCCCCCGGGCCAGGAGCGGAGTCACAGTTGGGCTGGGGGCTGAGGCTGGGGCTGAGAGCGGGGCTGGGAGTGGGGGCAGTGTGCCAGTGGCTGGGGGCCGGGGGCCAAGAGTGGGGTCTGGGGGCTGGCGGCCAAGAGCAGGGGCTGGGAGTGGGGGCCGGCGGCTGGTATGGGGGCTGCAGCTGCGGCCGGGGGTGGGGCCGGAGCAGAGCTGAGAGCAGAGTGGGGCTGGGTGTCACTCCCTCTCTGCCCGCCCAATGGGCGCTGGCCTGGGCTGCACTGTGGCCCCCCCGGATTTTCCCCACAGTTTGGGGACCACAGTTCTAGAGGTTAGAGCAGGGGATGGAGATCTGGATTCTATTCCTGTTGTTGGTGAGATCCATTTGTGGTGGACCTCTATGCCACTTAAGGCAAAGTATGCATAGAGACTATGCGGGAGACTGAGGGTGGCCCAGCACCACAAACTTTGCCTGTCTAGCCTCAGCACCCAATGGAAGGGGTCTCTAGTGACCCTTGACAAGCCAGCATGCAAAGCCACAAAGAGGGTGAGCTAGAGAAGGGGTTGCAGGATCCAGTGACTCAACACTAGGGTGGAGTGCATGTCACCCTTAGTAACCTTGGGCAAGTGACTTTATATCTCTGTGCATCATTTTACCCATTTTAAAAACAGGAGTTATAATTGCCTACCACTATACTTTGTGCTTTGAGTTCTTCCGGTGAAAGGCACTATATACTTGAATGCAAAATATTATTTATTATTAGTATAAATGTTGAAGAGTGAGTTGTCATCTGTTCTTTTATTACTTCATGAACATTATTTGGGTGTTTCCATCATCAGTGGAATATGGAATAAGAAAAAATAACAATAAAATAATGACTTATTTCTGCGTATTTAGAATTTCATGCTATCCTTTTTTATAGTTCTTTGAAAAGAATTACAAAATTTATAAAAGAAATGAATGGCGGGCTAAAAGTCGAAAAAATGGATTTGGTATTGATCTAGCCAAGATAGGTATTTGCCTACCTCTTGAGTTTGTCCAACTATTGCCTCTGAAAATATTCTAGAATACTTGGGCTTGATTCTCCACTGCCTTACACGTTTGTACACCTGTGCAAAGCAAGTGGAACATGTGACCAAATCAGAATTCTCTAGGAACTTACACTAGTGGTAGAATTTTACTCCATCTTTACACAGGTATATATGACTACTTAAGGGGCAAGATAACAGAGAATCAAGCTATTTATCATTTGCCTTAACTTTATGCATATGCAAGTCATTGCATTTCAAATTGTTTCTTTAAGTTGTTCATAACTTTCTCTAACATTTTCCTTTTGTATTAAGGCCCCCAATAAGCATGTGTATCAGTGATTTGCCAAGTTGTGGCCTAAAATTTCTTATGTTTAATCTCAGGTCACATACAAATGTTTAAGTTGCACATTACATAAACTTCCCACCTGCTTCATAGCAGCTGTGTATCCTCCTCCCTATCTATTGATCAGTCACTCAGAATTCTGCAGTTACCCCCTTCCGGCTGTCCAGCCTCAGCTAGATTCCCCCCTCAGTGACAGTCCTGCAGCTTCTCCTCCCAGCTGCCAAACCTTTTGGGATTTCCCCAGCAAAAGCCCTCTGAATTGTAGATGCACTGAGGAGTGCTGGTCCCAATGCTTCAAGAAAGTGCAAACTTCCATGAGACACTATGGTATGTCTTAATGTGTGATGCTTACTTATTCCAAGAGACTTATTAGTAATGTTGAATTGTGGGGCTTGAAATACCCATCTATTTGGATTTATTTTTCTCTATGGGCATGACTAACTTCACACCTTTTAAAAATCTTAGTGGACTCTGCTAACTTTACCTAAAGCTGTTACAAAATTAAATTGCCTTTTTATATTATAACAACGATAGGACAGATTTTCAAAGATTTAGACACTGACAGATACAAATAGGCACCTAGTGGGATTTTCAAATGTGCCTAAGCAGGACTGTGTCTCACTCCCATTGAAAACAGGCACTTAACCTGTTTAGGTGCTTTTGAAAATCCCACTAGGCACCTGTCTGCATTTTTAAAATCTGGCCCGAGGTGCTGTGTGGTTTGTTGTTTTTAACAATTCAGTAAAAGCATGCTAACTTTTTAATTAATGAAAAGGAAAAATGACATAAGGATGAGGCCAAACTATAAAAAATAGAATAGCAAAAGATTGAGAAGATAACACAAAATTCATATCCCTTGTACCCTGTAAAATATGTTTTCTTGATACAGGTAGATATCACAGCAGAGTGGAGCAACGGCTACAACACAGGACTGGTAGTCCATTAGAGCTGGGTTTTACTCCTAGCTGTGCTACTGACTTGCTGTGTCTTTGGGCAAGGTGTTTAATGTCTCTGTGCCTCAGTTTCCCCTTCCACAAGATGGAATAATAATACCTACTCTCCTTTGCAAAGTGCTTTGAGAGCTATGCATGAAAAAGTGCCCATATAACTGCAAAAATTAGCATATCACACGTGAGTTACATAATCAATTGTTGCACTTGCTTAGGTTGACTGAATTTTGTTGTTATAAACAAAACGAAGTGGCATGCCTCAGTGGGTATGTTGTAGTTAGATGGGTGCCATCCACAGACAATGATTTCCCGGTGATGCACTTAATAGATTCACCCTCTAAAAGCAAAGGACAGTATTGCTCTGGACACTGGTCAGGCCTCTGTATACTCTTCTCAGCAGACCCATAGGGCTGATAGGACATCCCCATAACAATGAAACATGGTAACGTTTACCTGGCATCTGATTCAAAGTCTGTTCCCAGGACTCTCTAGTCATCCTAATTCTTATGAGGCCTGATCCAAAGCCCGTTGAAGTAAATAGGACTATTGACTTCAGTGGTTTTAGGATCAGGTTCCTAGTGAGTCTAGGGCTATGAGTCTGCTTTCCAAACTTTTCACTCTCTTTCTAAACAATGGTGATAGTTTAACGACACTCACTTTTGGTTTTGTTTGGAAATTTTCATTGTGCAAATATGATTTTTTCTTAGTCTCAGGCTGCATGGCAGGCAATATAATTTGTCCTAGTTTAATGTGGGGTATTACATTTTTTATAGAACTCTGGCTGTGGCCTTCTGGATAGCACCAACATTTCATAAGAAAAAAGGCACTGAAGCAAACAAGGTAATTTTATATGTTATTGAACATCCTGCTGGGTTGTAGCTAAATGCCATCTGCTGAAAGGTTGCAGTCACTATAGAGGAACACTATTCTCCGATTATAAAATGGTGCATTATGAAAAGCATTTTTCATTATAGTGAGTCACACAAAACTACATTTCAGGTGAATTAAAGTAGTTGAAATAATAATGGGTATGTGGCTCCTCTGCGTGCTAATAGTATAGTAGATTTACTTTTTATTTTAGTTTTTTGGAATGGAGGCAGAATAGTCTAGTGTTTAGAGCACCCAACTGGGAGTCAGGAATTCTGAAGTCTCTTTCTTGCTCTGCCACTGATTAGCAGTGTGAACATGTACAAGTCACCGTGACACAATTTTTCAGAAGTGTCCTGTAATTTTGATTGTCCCACCTTGAACACTCAGAGTTTGTGTTTTAGAGATGCTGAGTACTTGCAGTGCCAGTGGCTTAAACTGGGGCTGTATATTTTTAGCACCTATAAAAATCAGACCCTGGATGTCTAAAGCTAGTCACCCCAAAAATGAGACATGCAAAATTGAAAATTGCTTTTGAAAATTTTGGCATTAACATTTTGATGCCTTATTATTATCTCCTTGTGAGGCTCAATTGATTAATGTTTGTAAATGCCTTGAAAACCTTGGCTATAAAATGCTGTATAAGTGAAACATTTTGTTATTTTAGTACTACTATTAATAATAAATAAAGACTACTGTATGTTTAACTTGCATGGGTAATTTTAAACTTCTGCTATAGGCAGTTATGAAAGAAAATATCATTTAAACTGCATGTATAATCAAGTTAAACAGTTTTAATAATATGCACATCATATTCATATTCCATATTTATTTTTTATTTTGGACTCTTACATTTTCATAGAGTAGTTAATTCAATTCTGTTGATAGCTCTTGTGTTACTGTGTTAATTCTACAAGCTTTTTATTATGGTCATCAGAATTGTCAATAGATTTCAGAGCACAATAATTTTAACCGTGTGCTTCCATGGTACCAATGTTGTAAACAATCTTTGATCAGTGAAGTTTTCACAGTGAACCAGAATTTTAGATCTCATTATAAAACAATGCAATTATATGCTGAACAAGAATCAAACCTCTGGAAAAGCATCTGAAAAAGATGAAAGGCCTGAAATGCTGATCTCATTGATCTCTCTTTTTAACTGAAATAAAAAGAGATTACCTTTGATTACAGCTAATTCTGTTTATATTAGAAGGGAACAAAGACATATAGTGCCAGATCCTGAACTTGTGTAAATTGCTGTAGCATAGTTGAAGTCATTGGGCTGTGACAATTTATGTCTGCTGAGGATCTGTCCCATAAATTTTCCTACATACGGATGTTCACTTTGTCCTTTAAATTACTTTAAAAAATCGTAGTGCCCTAATACTTGTTCTTAGCGCTTTTGCTTAAACAGTAGATGTAGCTTTACTTCCTCTTACAACTGATATTGAACCAGACATTTATTTCACATGCAGTAATACTTTTCAGTATTAATATTGAGAAAGGAGTAAGATTGTATGGTCTTTGGGGGCAAGGACTCTGTCTTCCTGTAAGGTGCCTTGCAGGCTTTTGAGCTATAAAATTAATGAGTGATAATAATTTTATAATGGCTGCTTCCCTGCCCAGAAGCTTACTTTAGATTGATGACAATAGCAAGGGATGACAACAAAGGGTACGTCTACACTTACTTCCTGGTTCGGCGGCAGGCAATCGATCTTCTGGGATCGATTTATCGCGTCTTGTCTAGACGCGATAAATCGATCCCGGATCGATCCCGGAAGTGAGATGACTGGGAAGGGCAGGACAAAGGGACAAGGACAGTAGGACTGTGTGCTTCCTTAGGATGCTAGTGCATACATGTGTCTTGATAATTAAGATATATGATAATGAATTCTCTTTCTAGAAATAATTAACATGAATTAAATGTAAGAGTGCAGAAAATAGACATAGAAACAGCCATACTGAATCACATTTCTGGTCCAACTAGTCTAGTGTCCTCTCTGTGATTGTGGCCAGCACTGCAGATCTGGGTCAGATCTTGAGCCTTGTTAAGACTGCTTTGTGCTCCCTAGCATTGTGCTAAGCATCAAACAGCTGGTCCTGAGGATCAGGGCCTTTGTGTTTTGTTCATGCAAATGCCTCAAACAGAAACTGTTTGTGAATATGATGTTTTTACTACAGAAACAGACTGTATAAATTACGTGTGGAGTTTGGAAACTGATGTGTCAGCCTAAGTTAAGTGAAGTGTGATTAGTGAGAAATGCTGGATACTGTGTGCACACTTGTTGCTAAAGCTTAAACAGGGCTCGATCTTGCAAGGTGCAGAAGCACTCTGTCTCCAGTCCAGCAACACATTTAGATGTGCTCAGCACATTGTGGGTTTGAGTGCTTGGTGAACAGGAATGCATTACAGCTGGACATTTTTGAAGAAGACCCAGGGTGAAATCCTGGCCCCATTGAAGTCAATGGAAGTTTTGTCATTGACCTCAGTGGGGCTAGGATTTCACTCCAGATATTCAAAGATTTTGTTAAAAACTTTCTGGGCTAAATTCTGCCCTCAATTACACCTGCCAAACCCTACTGAAGTACCAGAGGGTAGAATTTGTCCTTATGGCTTTAATTCAGTTCTAGTGTCATATAGGTCTGTTTTCATTTTTTTTAAAAATTCTGGATGATTCAATGGAATATCTACGTGCCATGGAGAAGGAATTGGAAAATCACTGAAATAGTTTAACATAAAACTATATTACAGTGACAGGAGAATGTAGGTTTTAAAAATACTTATTGACTGTGTCGGTAGTTTGAGATCACCTATAATATGCAGTTCATTTCAGTTTGGCTTAATACCTTCCAGAGAAAACCTCATAGCACTGAGTACGGTGCAAGGAAAAATAACTTGATTCCTGGACTAAAACTAGAAAGAGTTAAATAACTGGAAAACTGGGGAAACCAAATTGCATAATTAGGTAATATGTAGAATTTGTTACAAATATACACAGTATCAATCAAATAAATTATGTCTGATTTATCGGAAATAGCAACAAAGAGTCATATCGTATGGTGAAATAAACAGACCTAAGGATGCGTGTCCAGCCTTTCAGTATGGTGTGATAAATGTGAGATGGCCCTATTTTGAAAGGTTGTAACCTGTAACAAGAAGAGTTTTCAGTTATTAAAGAAAAAATCATAAGGGAAAAACAGTAATGAAAGCTTTTATATCTGATTCTTGAATCTGTAATGATTTGTTTTAGTGTATTGCCAATGTCCCACCAATGTTGGAAAACCTGGTATTTTTTCCTTCCCAACTGTCTTCTACAGCATATGTAGAAAATACTGCACTGTTATCTGAAAAGCTGATTCAAATTGTTCTTCTTTAAAACTAGAAACCTTCCATATTTCTGTAGGTGGCCATTTTACTTCCCTTATGTTTTTCTTCTCTTTAACCAAGAGATCTCTTCTCGGCTTATTTGTTTTCTTCAAGCTCTTTGTTGCCAAATTTTGTATGCTTTTCCATATGCAAAGAACAACTATATACATTCAGTATGAATGGCCTTTATTTTATATTTAATATTACAAGAACAACAATACAACCACAAAAGTAAGATCACCATGAGAGAGTGCATGAAGTACTCCTCCGTAAGGCCTTGTTTTTGGAACTAGTGGGAAAACACTGATGTAAGTACCTACAGTGCCGTGTCTCCATTCAAGCCATGCTGTTTGAAGTTCAGGTCAAGTACAGTTCTGTCCCATGACCACCCTGGTGCTGCATTATACCTTTGCAGTTGCACTGGCATTTGGGTACCTCTCCCTAAGTTCCCAAAATAGCTTCCTGAAGCTGTGGCTTTTGAGAGAGCTTGGAAAGCTTCAGGGAGACCTGGGGAATTGTAGGAAATGAGGTCATATTCCTGTAAGTCTCCTGGTGCCGGTGCTGTTGGCTAGTGCTTTTATCAGAATGGTGGCCAGGATGACCAGTTAGCTCTTGCCATTGCTCAGCAAAAAAGGTTTCTGCTGGAGCTTCTATAAAGCAGTGAGCAGACCACTGAGGCAGCTAAGCAGAGGCAGTGGAGGATGTTCTGGCAGTACTTGCTGTGAGCCAGAGATCAGTTCGCTGATGCAATCATGATGCAATCGTTGTGCTTTCATCACAATCCTAGGAGATGGCTCTCTACTGTGCTTGCAGATCAACTTCACAGGGTCTCATGTCACTTTTGTGCCTGGACTATGCTCATAGACAGGTGGAACAAAACTATTCTCAAGCAGCATTGGCCACATAACTTTGAGATGAAAAAAGAGGCTCTTCTGTGCTTCTTTGCTTTGGCAGTGCAGTGAGTGTCATGCCATGAGGACGAGGACTCCTCTCACCATGAAAAAGAGAGTGCTGGTCTCCCTGTGGAAGGTGGCTGACGACCTTAGTTACCAGTCAGATGGGCCAATTTGAGGCTTGGAAGTCATTGGAGGTGTTCCGGTGGTGGAGGTTTGCAGGTCAGTAAATAATGTGCTGCAGGAATGTGTGATCAAGGTGGCCAATGTGCTGCAGGA